ACTCCAGAATCCTACTCCAATTTTTCTTCAGGAAAAAAAAAAAGAAAGAAAGAAAAAGGGGAAAAAAAGTAATTTTAATGCCACTGTGGAGTAAGGCTGAAATATCCATTCTACCAATTATCAGTCTAATGAGATTTTGTACAGGGGAAAAAAAATCTCTGTAGTTACCTTTGGAAACTCTCTCCATAAGTTATATTTTAGAATGGAAGAAACAAATCATTGTCAAAATAGCTGCACTGTTTGCTGGCTGCCTGTCACATGCTGTGTGTACCTGTCCTTGTCTTTTCTCACATTTTCTGTTCAAACTGTTTCTTCCACCTCCGATTGACGCTTTGAGTCTAATAACTAAATGTCACTTCTCCTGCTGGGAGAACCCAGAAAAAGTGCTATTCTGGTCTTTAAATTTATCGTTCAATACCTTAAGCCTGGAGTGATTTGAGGAAAGTCATGGTGAGTTGGAATGAGAGCAGATAGCGCCACCTGCTGGACTTACATGTGAAATGAGAGCAGGGACAACGAGAGCTGTCCATGGTTTTGTCCCCTTCGTTGTTGTAAATCGCTCAGATTAAGTCATGGTCCAGCCTTTTTTAACAGTAATTTTTGCCATCTGTACTTGTTTATGATGCCAATATGCCACACCTTGTGCATTTATATTTCATATTTTGTTTTCTCCCTCTAATAACTCAATATCTAAAACTGCCACCAAGAATAGCTGCATTTCAGGCCAACTGGTGGCATGGTGGTTAAAGCAGCTGGGTCCTACATCACTGATTTCACAGTTTGAGTCCCAGAACCAGCAGCTTAGAAAATGTACTGAGCGCGTGTGCATGCATGCCCAGAATTCCTAGGGGAGAATGGAAGAGAAGGGAGTGTGTCATGACCATTCCCCTGGGGAGGGGGTCTTTCTCTCCCTCCCTCCCTGCCTCCTTCTCTGTCTCGCTCTGATGAGCACACACACACATCCTATAGCAAAAGCAAAAACAGCAACGAAAACAGAATAGCTGCTTTTCATTTCATTTTTCTTAGAGTATCTGGGAAATTATAGTGTTGCAATTTGAACGGATCTTAGAGTCGATCTAGTCCAGTGGTTTACAATACATTTTGGACAGAGAAACTCTTGGAAGACTATGAACATAGCCCTGTCTCAGAAACCAGTAAACTGAGGCCCAAAAAGTGTGATGGCAAAGCTGAGACTAGAACTCAAATATGCCGATTTCCAAACCATTCCCCATGTCAGGTAAGATGCTTGCATCTGCAGTAAAATGGCTTAACTGCTGCTGACATCTCACATAAGAAGTCCCGCTGTAGAAGGCTCTGGAAATAAAACAGGCATGGAGCCATGTCACCCAGGACTTGGTGTCCTCCTCAGAGTGCCTGGTATGTACCAGCTGGCTTCAGCCTAACCATCCTCCCCAGGGGTGTTTCTCCCGTTCTCTCTCTTTCTTTCTCTCTCTTCTTTCTTTTTTCTCTCTGTCTCTCTCTCTCTGGCAAGTATATACACCCTATAACAAACTTTAAAAAAAAAAAACAAAAAAAAAACCTCAACCTATTTTTTTTTTTTTTTGGAGAGGTTTTTGTTATAGGGCATGTGCACTCAACAGAGAGAGACAGAGAGCGAGAAATCACCCCCCAGGGGGGATGGTCATTCCACAATCCCTTCTCCTCCATCCTTCTGCTGGGCTCTTGGGCACTCATGAACACACGCCCAACTCAAGTTTAAACCACAGGGTCTGGGACTCAAACCACCATCAACTTCATGGGAGTCCAGTGACATAGCCATTACGCCATCTGCTGGTCCCCTGGCTGAGGTTTTCTAAATTCAGGTTTCCTCTACTGTGAGGCAAACCCACGAGCTGTGTGGCTGCTTTAGTCACCTCCCTGGGACTTGGGGACAGGGTAGGGATGTTCACTGATGTGAACGTGAAGCTCACACTGCCTACCATGTTGTGACTCAGATCCCAAGTGCCCAGGGGTCTCCTGTCTTCTGCCAACATCGTAAGAGTGCGGCCACCTAACTGGTGAGCTTGCAAAGGGAGTGAAATCCCAGACTCTTAGACCTTGACACAAATGGCAAGGCGACCACTTGTGTTCTCTCCAATGAGCCACACTATGTACACCCAATTCTCAGATACTTATTTCTGGAAATGAGAGTATTTTTAGTACAGAAGAAATTCCTTTCCCACAGGCAGAAGCAGGGTGACACCTCCATCTCCAGCCGGAGACACGCGTTAAGTGGGGATGGTGTCGTTGGTTCTGCTGTCTTCCATTCTGCCTCCCTTTATTCGCTCACTGGCTCTCTCTATAATTATCTCTTTTAAAATGTCAGATGCTCTCACCCAGAACACCAAGAGCGATCAGCCACAAACTGAACTTTAGAAGCTTCTAAAATGCATTGGCTGTCTGAGTGGGCGATGGGATTTCTCGAAGGTGTCCCTTAGCAATGTCAAAGAAACTGAGATTGAGTGGCTACAAAAAAAAAAAAAAAAAAAAGGAGCCCTGTCTTTGGTCCTCACACTGGCTGGGCCTTGCAGCCCTTTCTGAGGAAGCCAGAGAAGGCATGGAGCGTACTGGAATCGTGGGCTTTCCTGCTGCAGGTCCAGCTTTGGGGAGGAAGCTACTCTTGGGGGTTTGGCTTCAGCTGCTTCTTCCCGACCCAGGTGGGGCGAGTGGCTCTGAGCTCCAGCAGGATTCCAGTGACTTTCCTTCCTTCTCTAGGGCAGTGTTGACGTTAAGGAGACCATGGGCAGGGCAAGGGCACAGGGAATCTGTTAGGAACCAGTGGAGAGGGAAGTGCAGCTATTTCCTAGTGACTGCCGGTCCTCAGGGTTTCCCTGCATGGTGACAGTGCCAAGTCCTGGACGAGAATTCATCCCAGTGGAACAGAAGTGAAGGAAATCCCAGTACTGGTTAGCCCTGCAGGCCAGACGTTAGGGCTAAAGTCAATTTATCCCTAAATCCTACAGTATTTCCCTGGGAGTAGTTGATGCCTTTAAAATGAAACAATCATTCCCTCTTTACTCAGGAAGCCTCATTCTCTTGCTACTCTGATAACATCATTTTAAAATGCGACTGCTAAAATGTGATGAGTCTTCAAAAATTTCATGGAAAATGTGTATTAGGAAAACTATGCATAGACTTCAAAATTGTTTTGTGCCAAAGTAAATCTGTGCTTTAATTCCATTTTTCCATAAGCTTTTGGATTTCACTTCTATAGCATTTTCAAAAGAAAAACCGAACAGATTTCATCTTAAACCCAGGTTCCTTTTCCCCATCAACTACATCAGAACTACAGAAAAAGATGGTTCAATCTGTGCATCACATTATCATCTCCCTGCATTCTGGTCATACACCCATAGAAACCTTGATGGAGGTCACTGGACTGCAAGTTAAATCCAGTCATAATGATCCCGGCAGGCAGGCACTCCTAATTTAGATGAGATATTTTACTGGAGTGTGTGTGGAATCACCACAGGTGTTAAAATTAAAGTTCTCTCTCTAATGACATGAAGGATCAAAATTCCTTGGTACAATTAGGTTGATTAAATTGAGCTCTGCATCTAATATCCCTGTAGCTCAATAAAGTTAATGCAGCTTTCAGAGGGGCCCGACATAGAGCCAGGGAACCGTCTGGGTCCTGGGAGAATCTGGCCCACTGTGGTTTTTAAATTAGAAGTTTGATTGCTTGTGACACCGTCTCAAAATGGTACCAGCCCAAAGAAGCTGAATTTTCCATTAGCCTAGGAAAAAAATGACAGATATTTAATTAAACTGCTTAGAGATTAGGCAGAAGGCTTATTGATGGATAGAGGGGCTGAATATCTTTATAAGCAAAGTTAGGAAATTAACCGGTGAGCTACATCTTTAATGTTGAAAAGAATTCACCAAGCCTTAGGGAGCTCAAGACGCCTGTGCTGCCTCAGCGTTAAGCTGCCTTTCCTGCCAATCGCAAGAAAAATATACATTTTTTTTAAGTGTTTATAAAGCACTAGGTGGTCACTGAGGAACTTAACATAAAACTTAAAAAACATGGGATAAGAAAGCTGCTTGTAACTGAAGTTAAAGCAACCACCGAACTCTGTTGCCTATTGCTGAGAGGTGCTTTGTTGTGAAAGGAGCTTGGTTTGGAGGTGTCTGGTGGTTACTGCCGGCGGGTTGGTTATGAGAAGGTCTCAGCATCTCAGCTGGGGAATAGCCAACGTTTGTAACATGGACTGCAGGAAAGGGGTGTTCTGCCGCACGTCATGTGCTACCTTTCAGACAGCCACGCGCGGTCCAACAAGGATGCTGGCCGCCTTCATGGCCTCGGCAATTCCTCACTCTTTAACTTCAAGAGGGACTCAGAAGATTAATGCAATACGGGTTTGTAAATGCCCCCCAAAATAGTATCTCCCCACTTTTGAACACAATGTGTCAGACAGCTCTCCAGGTGACTGCCATTCACAACCCGCGGAGCTAGAAGAGGCAAGTTGTGCAAGAGGACTCCAGAAACTTTGTGGGAAAATGGCGGGGAAAATGCGCATGTTTATTTTGGTGCTAAAGTTGAAATCTATGCATGCTTTCTCCATGGAGTTGGTGAAGACCCTTCTTACATGGAGTCTGAAATCTGACAAATCTGGGTTCAGATCCTTATCCTGACTCCACTAGCTCACTCAGTCTAAGACACTCAGATGCTAACTTCTCCAGGCCTCAGTTTCTTTATATGGGAAGAGTAAATGGTGCTAAGTACTTGGAAGGCTTCTAACGAGGAAGGAAGGAAGTCAATGTATATGTACCTGGGGCATAGGTACCCAACACAAACTTATATTCCTCCCCTTAGTCATTGTGCTTAATAATGAGCTTGTGTTTTGTCCTTCCTTGAATGAATTAACCATGGATCTTCATGGCAAGTGATAAGTTTAGATCATTGGCCTCTCTGCTTAATTTTTTTCTTTTGAATTCATGCCTGTTTGGTATCTGGAAAAAAAATACTCATGTATCTTTCATGCTTTCTGCTCCTCTAGCTGCCACAGAAGTGTCCTTTTCATTTGACGTTGGAAATGGGCCAGTGGAGATTGTAGTGAGGTCACCTTCCCCTCTCAATGATGACCAGTGGCACCGCGTCACTGCAGAGAGGAATGTCAAGCAGGCCAGTCTGCAGGTGGATCGGCTGCCCCAGCAGGTCCGCAAGGCTCCCACAGAAGGCCACACCCGCCTGGAACTCTACAGCCAGCTGTTTGTTGGTGAGTAAAGGAAAGGCAACTGTGATTTCTCTTTGTTGGTTTCTGGAACCTTCACAATGCAACGAGCGAGCCTGTGGAGGGTTTTGACAGAGATCTTACCAAGAGTGTCTAAGCCTCTTATAGTCCCCTCTAAGACAGGATGGAATGAGGAAGAGGATGCAGGAGACCTACATCTGATTCCACTTCCCATTCTTAGGAGCTCACAGTCTTCAGCTATAAAACCAGGACACAGGGCCTAGCTGCACTGGCAGAGGTGGTAGAACATCTCTGCATGATACAGGAGCCACACGGAAGGTCTGGGTTCAGATTCCAGGTTGACCTGAGTACAGGGTACATTTGCGAGGCACCCATTACCCTAGCTGGCTGAGAGGCTGGGGCAGAGGAGGGCGAGGTCAGGTGATGAGACCCTATCATGGGTACCTGGCTCTCTTCTCTCCTTCTCTCTCTAAGAAATAAACTTTTTTTAAAAAAAGTGAACTGAGACACCTCTCATGTCTCTCTGAGTCTGTAATTTTAGGTTTATAGTTTTAGAAGTGTATAAAAGTAATCGATCATTTATCGCACTTGTAACAGGAAGGATGGAGAAAACAAGGAAGAAAAGAAGGGAAATGTGGGGTACAGAAGAGGGGGTTGGAGTAGACTCTCTAAGTTAGATTTACTTAGAATAATAGGTAGAGAACCATTCCCTTTTGTATCCCTGCTCAAGGTTCTAGGCATGGAAAGGTTTGTGCTTCTACTTAGATAGCACTGCTCTGCAGGAAAGAGAGCAATGCTGAGAAGAAATCTAAACAGACCTAAAAAAGGGCCCCCAGCCATACTGTCCAGTCGGGTTCACTGACGTTTTTATTATGGACACAGTCCAGATGATCCTGTTTCTGTGACTAATTGAATTTAAATTTCGTTTCCCACAATAATAATATTTTAGGGAATTGACAACTTTTCCTATGCTGAGTAAAAGCAAAGTGTGTTTGGAGGTCTTTGTGGATCTGTGCCACCTTCAATCTCCCTCTCTGGGTTTCCGGAGGTGCAATGATCAATTTGGTCAACCATGGCAGTTTCAGACCAAGCAAAACAAGATGGGACCTGGTTGCTGTTCATATTCCTAACACTTGCCACCTGTGCTCCACTCTTCTGGTATAGAGCCTCATGGAGGGACAGTTAATTTTAACAAGAGTCGGAGTCCCTACAGCGTCGTTCACAGTTGTGTTGGGATGCTCAAAGAACATTAGAAAGTCATGAAAAGAAAGGTAAAATTATGTATCTGATCCTTTCATATGACATGGGAAAGCCATAAACAAAAGTGTAAGTGAGCTCTTAGAGTGAGACTGACGTGTTAACAAGCTGCATCAGCCGGGGGCCTTGATGGAATTGTAGATTCTAAAATAAAATACTCCCAAAACCCATCCAGAACCGAAACCTTTCTAAATTGTTCCCTCAAGTTATAGATCACAAAATTACACATTGTTTATGAACTAAATATCAGCTCTGCTGAGTCCTATTAAACAGAGTGAACAAATTTTACTCCATGAGCCTGTCTTGTCCAGATTACCTAGGACAAGTTTCCACCTAAATGCTGATAACCCCAAGCATGCTGGGTAGATGCTACTTGGTTTTCATCATAACAAGTGAACTTCCTTGACAGGATAGCTCATATTTCTCACCTTGCCCCTAGATATAGATGCTTTAGCTTTATCCCATTCTGGCCACTGACTGTAGTTGTCTCCAAGGATTCTGGAGATTTAGTAAGGTTATAAAGTAGAAAGGGATAGGAGAGTATTTGTCATAGTCTTGGAAGGAATTTTGATTCATTTAAACAAGATGACCCAAGAATAACATAAAAAGAGAAAAGCAGAGGGCTGAGGTCAGAATTCTAGGAAATAATGAAATTTAAGGGAAAGGCAGAAAAGGAACATCTTACAAGGAAAAATGAAGAGGAATGGAAAGATTTAGTGAAGGAAAATCAGGAGCAGGTAACATCAGAGGAGGAGAGGGCTTTGTGAAAAAGAACAAGGCAAATAATGTCGAGTGGCATGAGTAAAATAAGGCTAGATAAATGTTCTTTGAATATAGTAAACCATTGTGAAACCATTGGTGACCTCAGACAGAGATGGTCCAGAACAGTCAGCTGACCTGATGAGTCAGCAACTTCTTTTCACTTGATATTAAGTCTCAAGGCCTGGTCTCTAATTTCCTGTTATTGTAGGAGTGGGCATAAAGCACGTCTCCCAGACACAAGCTATTTGAGCCAATCTTGGAAATATTGTTCTGCAATAGAAGCCTGCCCCAGGGAAAGTAGAGAGATGTTATTTCTAGGAAGAAAAAAAAAAAAAAACAAGTTCAACAGCTATGAAATCGTAGAGCCAGTTTTCCCAAAACTATTCAATAAGGATTCAGGCAAGCAGGTGTCAGTCTCAGTTCAATTCTAATAAAAGTGTTTCTTGGCCAAGTATTGTCACTTTGGCTCTTGGAGTCTCTTTTCTCATCTGCCTAGTAAAAGAGTTGGATTCTCCAAAATTTCTTCAAACTTTAGACATTTATGAGTCTGTGCTTAGTGATGATTCAGTAAGATCTGGGTTGTCACATGGTCAGCCATTCCACGGTGTTGAGTGGTTATCAGTTGCCCAAGAGCTCCATTTGGGTTATGGAGCAGGAAGGGCTTTGACACAACTTGGAGACTGAACATAATTCTTGGTGTGACACATAGAGTGGACTCTAAGGAGCAGCAGATTCTCACCTCTGGACTTGCCAACTGAGAGACATGAATAAACCCCTTAGTATCTCTATGTTTGACAGTGTCTTAGTTTGCTTTCTGTTACTCTAACAGAATACCGCGAACTGGTTAATTTAGAAAGACAAGAAAGGTTAGTTAGCTCAAGGTTCTGAAGGCTGGAGAGTCCACAAGCATGGCAGAGGCACCTGATGAGGGTTTTCTTGCTGCCATTGCATGGCAGAGGGTTGCACACAGCCAGCCAGAGCAAGCATGCTGCTTCACCTCATGGTGGAAAAGTGGAAGAGCAAGGAGACACAGGTGAGAGAGAAGGGAGGAACCAAGCTTGTTTTTACAACAGTCTGCTCTCTGGCTAACTAATCCACTCCCATGAGAATTACCCATTCACTCAAAAATAGTATTAATTCATTCATGAGGGTAGAGCCCTCATGACCTAACCACCTCCCTTGAGGCCCTATCTCCAACACTGCCAAACTGCGACCAAGGTCTTTAGTGAGAGCAAACCATATTCAAGCCATAGTAAATATGAATGCAGTTCCTACATCTCAGGATTAAATGGGATATTCCAAGCTAAGCACTCAGCAGACTACCAGCAGAGTCAATACTCATTAAATATGACCTATTTTCCTTTATTATCTTTTACCTTTTGCTTCATTTGTTTTCCTCTTCCTGCATGTAATATTCATGCCCCCAAGAAACCAGTTCCAAACTGGCTCATTTCTTCTTTCCTAAAATACTGACCTACCACGTCATCACTTCCACTCACCAGCCCTGAAGGGAAGCTCGTAGGCAAAAATGCCCCCTGGCATCCCCTATCATTCTGCTAGTCTCTGCATACCTGCTGTGGTGACCACAAGTAGCATGCAGGGACCTGGAGATTTTCACACAGTCAGTCAAGTCCACCTGAATACATCACACCAGCTTCATTGTCAGCCCCTGAGATGGAACAGCATTGTCCAAAAGCTCCATCAAGATTCTAGAGCAGGAAGGGCTTTGACATGACTCAGAGCTGAGACAGGCTGAACCTAGTTCTCGGCGTGTCACACAGAGTGGACCCTTGGGGGACCAGCCTCCATCCACTATGTGTGCAGCAGGCCAGGCTCACATCTCCTTTTTTAACATAAGTGAAGAAACAAAGACACAGCTCTTCGCTTCTCACTCTACATCTAAAATAAAATTAGAAGCTGACATCCCAAAAGGGCTAACACAGGTCTTTCAGAAGTAATAAGAATTCAGCTATGATTCTGGCATAGTAGAAAAGTGACAAATAAATTTAAAAATTAAAAGTGACAAAGGAAGAGAAAAGCAGTTGCTGGTATTTGTCTGAGAAGTGCAGGAAACTTTCCATGTTTTGATCCACAGTGAACAACTAGAGTATGACAAACTCCCTGGACAGCCCAGGAGAGACACACAGCCACATCGCAGCCCTTGGCCTCAGTCAGTGCAAGTGCTCGGACCTGACCCTCTGTGGCAGCTGGGGGCCAGATTTTTCGTAGGAAGTGAGAAAGAGCAAATGCGCTCATGGTCATTATCTCAGCATAAGCGACACCATGCGGGATCAAGCCAAAGCCCTCTTTAGGGCAGAGACATATCAGGGAGTTTGGAGTCCTGGCAGTGGAAGCCACAGTGGCAGGAGAACTACAAGGAAGCAGAGTATTTGTTGGGAGCCCAACTGCCAGCTCAGGGCTCGTCAGGGAGCTGGCAAGCATCCACCGTAGAGAGCCAAGCAGGCCCTTCAGGACAGGGCACTGGTGTAGGGGTTAACTTTCAGCAAGCTAGACACAGGCCAGAGCACATAACTGTTCTCAGTGCTCGTGTATGGAGGAAGTCGAGTTCCAGAGATCTGAAGGCTGCTTTGGGAAGCTTCAGGAAAGAGTCAAGTGGCTCCTTGAGTGTGGGTAGGTCATCCTAACTAATGGCAAACAGCAGGCTCAACTCCCTGACCTCAAATCTGACCTATTCTGAAATCTCTTTGGAGGTTAAAGGGGGGCATATCTTTTGTGTAAGATGTAGCCCAGACAGAGCTGAACGAGTTCCTTTGTGTTGGGTGAGAAGCCCAGCTGGAACTTCCACAGCAGAATAGTCTCTTCAGGACTCACACTAAAGGGGGCGGAGAAGCCTGCATCCTCCTCTTCCTCTGACAGTTTGTATATGGAGAGAGCTTTCTCCTGGGTGGCATCCTGGGTTTATGGGAGAGGTGAGATTTATTAAATGGATTCAAAAGCAAGTGAGGACTAGAGTGCTATGCCCTTCCTCTGAACTAAGCGTAGCT